TCCATAATCTGCAATTCATATTTGGCATGGGCTGTTCCTGTAAATATCACTCTAGATCCTTTGTAATGAGACTGCCATAGATTAAGGTTCATTAGATGCTTCAGGAACGGGTATTTATCCGGCACATACGGCTCTTTTTGGAATAACTCTCCATGTTCGTCGATAATGAACAGTGTTTTGCGCTCCTTCTGTTTGAATAGGTCGAATACTGCGCGAGCAGCCACAATTGAGCAATCTATAACTTCAGAAAAGTCGAGGAGACTTTCCAGATCAGATGCCGTCAAGATATCCCTGTTGAAAGCGAAGAAGCGCCTTAACAGTGCCTTTGCCGATTTTGTATCCGAACTTTCATTTAATATCGCGGCATCTGGTATATAAAGGGTAAGCCACCCTTCCGCATATCCTTTTGCAGCAAGGAAATAGGATAGATATGACTTGCCAACCCCCATAGGACCAGAAAGGACTCGCCGAAATGAAAACCTTTGTTCAGCACTAATCTCCTTCCACAATTCTAGCATCTGATCCGTAATTATAAATCCCGAATTATATTCCTCAAATTCTTTCGGTGTGAGGCCCAAGGATGGAATGTGAACTTGATCACCAAGCTGATTATCGCTTTTCAGATGATTAAACTTATTACGTGCATCGGGCGGGTCTTCAGGATTCTCCAGCATTGCGATCCAAGAGGGTGGTAACGTGACCATTTTCCATCAGAAGCCCTGTATTCTCTCCACCCTTCCTCAATGCGCATCTTCTTTGAAGGTGAAATATACTGTGGATCTAATATGATCATCGTACACATACACAGTTGGTTAGTACCATAACATAGTCAGTCACCAAGTCGATCTATCTAAACAGCAAAAAACAAATTATTACCTTCATCCATTTTTCTCTTGAGAATCTGTTCCGATGACTCTAGAAAGATAAGAGAGCGCGGCAATGGCAGAAATGTTAGCATTTTGATCAGATCAAAGAATATATTGCTGTCAATGAGATATGAACGCCAGCTAATGGAGAGTCAGAGCATGTGTGCGAAACGCGAAACAGATTCAATCAGAAAAACTAACAAATGCATCAATGTAAAAGGTCAAATAAAAATAAAAATAAAAATGAAAACTGTGTTCTCAGACAACAGTGAGAGTCTGAGGATGTGCACGGAGCATGGAGGGGCGACTTTTCAAATTCTTTTATAGAGATGAAATCCAAAGTCGCCCCAGTTAAATAGTGTTGCCGAGATTCATCTCAACAACATAAAAAAGGGATAGATACACGTGACCGTGATGAGATAGCTTCATCAATTGAACAATTGAAATATCATCAGTCCATCAAGAGCTAATACATACCTCGCTGCGGTGGCTTGACAAAAACATGGATCGTTTTCCTTGGAAGTTCAGAATTAAATATCTCCCAAAGCTCCATTGACGCGACTGTAAGAGCCTCTTTTGACTCGATTTCTGACTCAACGACGATCTTGCCTTTGTCAGGGATGGAAACTTTATAGAGGGTGAGGTCCTTGGCTTAACGCTGATCCACAGTAATATTGGGATAGATTGCTTGCTTGAGTTCATCGACTGAACAATTGGAAAGAATCTTTACAGAAAAAGAAGTTGCTTCTCCATCAACAATACAATAAATCTGTAGGCTGGTTGGTTCGGGGATTTTAGGGTCATTGGTGCTTGAAGACTCTTCCTTCGCTTCCCCTTTTCTTTCTTCTTTCCTTTCATACGGTTTAGTTCGAGGTGATAGGCATCGTGGTGATGTTCTGTCGCTTCCCATTGTGATTTCAAAAACAAGGGTGTAAATGGACGGAGGACAGAAAATAGGGAAAGGTTGATAAAAATGCCAAAGGATGATAATTCAGTAGCAGGATGGTTCAAAATTGTCTAGAGATGAAGTTGAGGGAGGAAAAGAAAAAAAGAAAAAAAAAAGGAAAGGAAAGGAAAGGAAAGGAAAGGAAAGGCAATGAATGAAGGCTTGGAATAAATAAAAGAGCAAAATTGATGGGAGCAAAACTGGGGGGAAATAAGAAAAAGTGAAAAGAGGATAAAGGAAGAAAAGGAAGAGGAGAGTGCAAAAATGAAGTGAAGCAAGTTAAAGAAAGGAGCGACAATTGATAAATCTGTTCCTTTATTTCAAGGTTGGGCTATGCTGTGTGTGTCTGTGAGAAATTTTTTTTCTTGTTGCACAAGACGCCATGCGATTAAAGATTGAATTGGCCCCCAAGTGTGACGTAACATGTATTATTTAAATACACAAACACTATTCGTCTCTTTAACTCTCTTGTTTTCACCACACAATCGAAAGTGTGCACATCCACTCTTCACCTTACATTCATCCCACTATGAACATGTCTAATACCTCATTCCAAGAACAAGAAGCTGTTACTGATGCTCCTATCAATGATGTTCTCGCCATCAATCAAATTGAAAAGATATTGATCGGTGGATTTGAAGATATTCTAAGTGTTCAAACACGAATAATATATATATAATAATAATTTTCTGTATCAATGCTTTCCTTGATGATATCAAAGCAATAATTATGCTTTAGAGAAAAGCCCTTGACGCGTCAAACTCTGGGAAGGATAGAGAGGATGACAGTGAAGAAAGAGAAGGATAATGATCAAGTAGATATCCTGGCTGGCCATGAATTTGAATTCGAGGTAAGTGTTGCATTTATATTATAAAGTCTAGTTCATTGCTTGAGAGCATATAATAAAGAAAAAGCTGGACATTTGTACGTTAACTCTAGTCTTTGAAGACGCGCGTATTGAGAATGGACTTAATAATATTGTTGTTGTTCAAGCCGCAAAGCACTATAAAGTTGATCCTGAATCCAGAGATCTGAGCCTGAAGAGAAAGGGCGTGATGTTTTGGTTTCCAGCACGTGCTGGAAGAAAACGAGCACAAACCTATTGCCCATACAGCACAAGCTGATTGCCCATACAGCACAAGCTGATTGCCCATACAGCACAAGCTGATTGCCCATACAGCACAAGCTGATTGCCCAAACAGCGCGAACCTGTTCTGAAACAGCATGAACCTGTTCTGAAACAGCACAAACCTTTTCTAAAACAGCGCGAACCTGTTCTGAAAACAGCACAAACCTATTGCACAAACAGCGCTAACCTGAAGAAAAAGCATACAGGCTTAAAAAAATCCACAATCATTTGCATGCATAACAGGCTTCTTCTCTTTTCGCACTACCATTACCATTGCCATTACCATTACCATTGCCATTACCATTACCATTGCCATTGTCATTCTCATTCTCATTCAATTCTCAGAGAACCTTCTGCATCATCCCTATAAACACGCTTAATACCACGAACAGTTGACAGATTAACTTTATTTGTCTGATCTTGTCTCACAAAGCGGCCATGTACTTTAATAATTCAGTAAATGCTCGGCATCTCTGCCTCTGCTTTCTCTTTATTACTAATGTTGACTATATATAGTCAAAGCCAACTTCTACTTCCATAGCTAGGCTTCTATATCTCTATATCTCAAAGATCTTAAAGACCAATAATCATCGTCTGTGACGCCAAGTAACACTGATACAATTGTACTAGATTCTTCTCTTGCAACAGCCTTCGCAAAGAGACAAAGGGAACAATCTTTAAATATGTTGAGCCCATTTACTCAATCCACATAAAACAGTTTGTTCCCCTCGTGGAGGAGAGAACCCTCGATATACGATAAAACTTTTTTTGTCCATATTCCTGTTTTGTTTAATAAAGTTTTTTCTGTTCTCATGCTCCCACTTTCCATTCCTCTTCCTGAATCAGTCTGCCTGACCTTGAAACGCAATTCCTTTTTTTTATTCAACGATGAATGATAAGAGTGAGAATTTCTTGTTTGACAAAGAGCATGGCGAAGAGTATGACGAAGAGTATGACGAAGAGTATGGCGAAGAAAATAACGACGACTTTGATGAATATCACTCATTCAACCAGGAAGTCAGAAAATCTAGACGAAGACCCTACTTTCAACGAGAGTAGGTGCGAATTCGAGACTGACGATGATTACAGCGGGTTTTCTGGAAGGCGATCGCCTGTAAGTCTATACCTTTGACTCTTAGTTGCTAGTTAATACTTGATATCCCTTGCTTCGAGCCTTTTTACTGACTTCTTCCGTACGCGTCAATGCTTCTGTAGTCAGAGAGCCTCATCGACCGACGCGCCCAGCGGCAAGCGCAGGCGAAGTGTGATATATGGCGTCGTGGTCAGGACAGACACGAACAAGAGCAAGTTGATGTTTACCAAAGCAACGATATTGACCATTCTGGCGGAGAATACAATGTCTTGGGCGTGAAGACGCGCGAAGGGCGTTCAAGGTCTATGTTCGAGGAAGTGCAAACACGCCAGTTGCCCCAAGTGACTTCAAGAAGCGAAGCCAGCGTCGCCGCCAGTAGCATCAGGTCTGCCCAAGCCAAACGAGGATATCCTAAGACTCCTTCTCCTCCAACAAATCAGGGACTGCCTATTCAACCTGCCAGACCTAGGTCATTCCTACGTTCAATCTCAGCATCCCATGTTCTTGGCTCACCCTCTACATCCACATTATGCGCTCCGCGACAATCCCCACTACCACCGCTACAAAGGGCCGAGAGCTTTCATTATTATCGCAGTCCACAGCCTAGGTCTTATCTCCTCAGTTACTTCATCGTACTCTGGACGGCATAGAGATATGCATGGCGTTCAGCCCAAGTCGCCCATCTCCCTGCACCAGACCTCTCGGGCATCTTCATCGTCCTCCTCTTTTCGTGGACTTCCTCAGATCTCACGAGATTTAGCCTATCCTTTATCTTTTGACAACCCATAAGCAACCCTGCTTGCAGCTGAAGCTGAAGCTTTGGAGCAGCGTCGACCTAACCTACGTACCAGTCATGGAGCATCGGAGACATGGTACACGCTATATGAATCGCTTGAACTTGGCGTTTTACCTTCGCCCGAACGGTGCGACGACGCGCCCGCCTCACAAAAGCCTTTGGCACAAGTCCCAATACATAAGTCCATACGCAAGTCTAGTATCCTTGGACATTTCTATAATACAGATGCATCTGGCTTCTTCGAATGCCAGGTTAAGAACAGTCTCGGGGTAAAGTGTGGCATAAAGTACAAGAAGTTAGGGGCGGCAGATCACGAAAAAACCATCTCCTCAAAAACCACTCCACAATATATGAAGCTGTGCAGGAATTTCGCCTCTATCAAGGCATGGTCCAGAATGTCAAGTCGTCGAAAGATCAAGATGATGATGATGATGAGCCCCCTAGACCACAGGGGAACTTCGAAGTGGCTAGAGAGGGATTTGTTCTTACGACTATGAAGAGGCCACTTCCGTATGAACAACAGTTCTTCGAGAAATTACTTTTAAGGCTTATCGCCGACAACGGAGCGACCTTCAAAATAATTGGCTCGGATTCTTTCAAGGCAATATGTTTGCAACTTAATGCATTATACGTAATTCCAAGCACAGACGCTATCCAATCAAACATGGATTTAAGTGTAATGCATATGTGGAGGCAAATCGAGATACATCACTGATCGTAAAATTCAAGGCGCAATCACAGCGGATAGTTGGACAAGCGGTGATCAAAGGAAGTTCTTTGGAGTAACATTTCACTTTCTAACACATGACTTTCAGCCGGCTTCAGTTGTGATTGGCATGGAACGAGTCCAAGGCCCTCAATCGGCAGAAGTCCTATTGGAAAAGCTTGGTAAGAATATCATAGCTTTAGCTCTGTCGGTTTACTGCCTGTTTGAGACCTATGTAAATAACACTTTTAATCCTGGAATTTGTTCTATAGAACGTGTAGTCGCAAGATGGAATTTGGAAGGGCATTTGATCTGTGCAACAACGGATCAAGGGTCGAACATAAAAAGAGCCATACAGCTTTATAATCTAAAGAAGAGTATTACCTGGCTTCCCTGTTTTTCCCATGTAATACAGCTGTGTA